GTGAAATAGCTCACGTTTTTATACACGCAAACCTTTGATAGATCCGGCCCTAAGTGTTTTTGGATGGTTATTCAGAAGAGTACAAATAACTTCAAAATTCAATTTTTAACTACATTTCTTTAAAAGACGTGAAATATTTTCTTGACTCAAATGGTTGGTTATTAGGATGCCAGTCCAACTCTCAGAGACAAAACTCCAAAGTGTTTAAAGTTATTATCAAACATTACTCTGCAAGGTTTATGCATAAACTATAATACTAAATGTCTAAGATATTCACTCTAATTTGAATATAATAGCAATACTAAGAATGTTTATAGAGAAAAAAAGTGGGTTAAAAAACAACCAGGTCTAGTTGTTAGGAATCCAGTTTGTGTGGTCTGTTTTGTGTCTGTCTCTCCCTCCACCACCAGGTGGCGCCCTGTACTTGTTGGTCCTTCCTGCACACCTGCGGCGCTTTGGATCATTATCTGGAGGAGAACTTAAGCAGTGGACTGTCACTACCTCGACGCCAGAGTGTTTGCCAGTTTTGGGTACTCTAGCCATGCTTAGATTAGCTGAGTCTAACCTGAGTCTTTGTTTCACTAAACCTAACTGAGTCTTTGTTTCACTGAGTCAAACTGAGTCTTTGTCTCTCTGAGTCTAACCTTGTTTTTTGTCTTTGCCTTTGGCCTTCTTCCCCTGGAAGGATTGTTTACCGAGTTCATACTGAGCAGGGGAGAAACCTCCACATGTGCCGTTCAAGTCCCTCACGGAAATCCGTGTGACAGTCCGCTCCAGTGCTCCTTCGGGTCCAAAGTATGTCTACCTGTCCACTCTTCAACATGTCCCCTCTTCTCTGATCAACCCACACAGACTGGATGCTAGTGAGAGAAGAACCCCCCCCTAACGTGAGTCCCTCACTAGCATTTTCCTTACTGCATTCAAGATTCCCACGGTTCCTGAACTAACCACTGTGAACTTCCCTCCTCCCTTCCAGTTCCGGTTCACCAGCCCTCTGAGTTCCAAATCCAACCCCCTCTACCCTTACTTCAATAAACCTGTTTAACCTTTTGCCTTGCGCTCTGAGTGGTTCTCTGCATTTTTGGCTCAGACCTCTAAACACATCATGACACTAGTCAAGTATCCTTCAAATTACGCTAATAGTTACGTGGGTGAAATGTTGCACCGTCGCTTTAATTCAGTCACTATTGTAGATTATGGATAGAAAACAGGAAATAAAACAGCCTCCTAAATGTCATGTTCCAGCATCTAAATCATATGGAACAAAAAAATTATGTATAGATATCAATTCAGGGTTTTTGAATCAAGGAGATGTAGGATTATTTGTCTGCTTTTGATAATTGTCCTAATGTTTAAGAGGAGTTTAAGATTACAAATTGATGGTTTGAATTTTTCCTTCAGGTTCCCATGGTTCTGTCAGTTGCAGCAACTTGTGCTGAAGTCAGCAAAGCAACCCCACACCATCATACTATGACCTCCATGAAATACTGTTTTTCTCCAGATATAAAGGATGTAACCCTAATTTTGATTCTGTCTCATTATCCGAGGGGTTAATTATCCAGGAAATCTTTGGGATCAACAAGATGTTTTTTGCAATATAACTATTGCTTTTGTGTAGAAGTCACGGGGAAAAAAACTACAAAAAACTGGTGAAAGGAAGAACAGCAAAATATTTTTTAATTGAGGATCCTGGATTATGGAGTAAAATTTATTCCATTATTATTCCACACAAAGGATACATTTTATATATTCAAATTTGGGGAAAAAAAAAAAAAAAAAAAAAAACGCTACAGTATGCAGAAATAAATTTCTTTATTTTTACTTCTCAGAATTTCAATTTTTTTTTACCTATGATTTATGACACTTTTATGTTTTCAAATAAATTTCTTTCAAATGTTATTTTTTAAATTTCTTTCTTTGTTATTTTTTTTAATTTATGTTTTTTTAATTTGTTTTTGGGATTTTCACTGTTTTCAAATTTTGGGAATTTCAGATTTAGTTTTAGATTTTGCATTCTTTTCAAATTCATTTCTACAGATCAGAATCTCTTCACTTTAATCTAAACTTTAATCTAACCTATAAAGATATTCTTTCTATTTGCAGCAGACCAATGAAAGTAAATGTTTCCACACCAGAGGAAAGCCCAGCCCCAAGAGAATAATAAAAAAAAAATGTTTTAAATGCAAATTTTAAAAATCAATCTGGAAATAATAATCCAATAAATCCAATACAATGCTTGAAAAAATAAATGTAAACTGCATAAAGTTAAAATAGGAAAAATAAATGGAAACCCCCCCCAAAAAACTGACAAAACAGCAAATTTACCCTCAAAACTTTTTGAATATTTTTTTTTTTATCAGAGTTTTATTTCTGGATAAAATTTTCATCGAATTTGAATTTACAAAACATGATCTTTGTTTGCAAAAATAATGGAACAAAATCCACTCCATACTGGATGGCGGTAGAAAAGCAGTGAAAGAAAACCACTCGGTCATTCTGTATCCGCTCTCCTTCACCCTATGAAGCCCTAATGGACAGATAAATGTAAGGAGAGCCGGAGGTGTCAGTTGATGCACAGGAAAATGCAAAAAGTTTTTTTTGTGTTGATTCTTTTCATCCTTTTGCTACAAGCGATTATAAAGGAGCCATTTATTGACAGGAGACTTGCAGGTTCATGGTGAGTGGCTGAGTTGTTAGAGCCCAATAGGAATGTGATTGTGTCCAGCTCCTATTCTCTAAACTCCCATCTGGTTTAAAGGCACACTATGCAACATTTTTAGTTAATGAATGTGTTCCATAACGTTTTGGATGATTAAATGAGTCATTTCAGGTTGAACAAAGGTATTCTCGGCCGCCCTGGTGGTCTAGAGGGGAAATACCGCACTTGCAATTGCAGGAGCCCTCGGCCCGCACCCACAGGCTCAGAAGTCTTGCGAGAGTCGGTCTTGCTTTACGGCGAGAACTGCTACACGCCCCCAGTGAAAGGCATGCTGGTTGCTAGCACAGTGGCGATATTTGTGCAGTTATCATGGCAGAACAAGCGAGGAAACAGTGAAAGCCCATGTTGGAGCAGGCAAGAAAGAGGAAAAGGGCTACGGACAGAGAGAGAAGTCGTACACGGGTGAACATCGGGCAAGCTTTTTCCGAATGGCGAGAGCTAAAAGAAAAAGAAGGCTGCAAGGCTGACGCGGACCTCGCGTTTCTGCTGATGTGATTGTAAGCAACATTGGAATGGTTTCTCTCTCTCTGTGTGCATGTTCATACTGTCTGCTAAGCTCAAAACAACCGCGCCTGGCTTGATGGAGAAACCAGGAGAACAGCTGTGCATATTTACGACAGTGCACTTTTACTTGCGCCCTCTGGGGGGAGCCTCGCTGGAAAATCAACACCGGTTGCATAGTATACCTTTAACAGAAAAAATACTTAAAGGATGGGAAAAAAGTGTGCTTTGTCAGTGATGGGAGATTTAACTGAATCCAGAGCTGACTTTTTATTCAGAAACAGGCTAAAACTTTGCAATAAATTGCTAATTGATCAGCTTTTATTTTGAAAGGTAAAGAGATAAACTCTGGCTGATGAAAGTCGACAAAAGAAAATCCTCACCGAAACTTAAACCAAAGCCAAGTAGGCTGAGGTTTGATGAATGTCTCATGAAAATGGCCCCTGACTCTGGATCCCTGTGCAGATCTGTGTCACAGACGAGTAAGCTAGATGGGTACAATCAAATCATTTTTCATTGTGGTCTGCCCAGGGGGATGGCAGGGGGGTTTAGCAGCAAGAGACTTCAGGAATGACAAATGACTCACCGGTTTTGTCCGAGTTACAGAGCAGCGTCTCCTTCTCGGCTCGGAGCCCGGGGCTGGGGCCGTGCTTCATCCATGTGGCGATGGTGAACTGGTCGGTCAGATTCTGGGGAACCACCCAGTCGGGGATTTTGGCCGCCTGACGCCCATCAAACCTGAAGATCAGGTCGCTGTCACGCCCGCTGTCAGACACCAGGGAGGCCGTCCAGTTGGTGGCGCCGCCGGGGGCCGGAAGGAGGTCCGTGCTGCCCGACGAGGCCCCTGCAGGTCAGGGAATAAAGAAGAGGTGTCACTAAAGGTCCTGGGAGATGTGTAGTGCATAAAGCCTTAACCTTGGGTGTGATTATTTATGAATGAGGCAGATGACAGGGCGTCATATGTAATCAATAGAGCAAGACGAATAAAGGATGCAAGTATTGATTTGCAGCAAAGGAAACCAGCTTTAAAAAAACAGATGTGAGTCGTTCATAAAACCGCGTCTCTGTTGGAAGGAGAGTGGAAGAGAGGAGAGACGATGCAGCAGGCAGCTGCTGAAGATGACAGCGGTGCGATACGAATCGTTTACAGATGACACTTTTGTTATATGAGCCCCACAAGTCCTGACAAAAAACACCAATCATTGCAGCACAGCATTGAGTCATTTCATTCCTTCTCCCTCTGCAAACAGCTCCATCATTCCTTTTACACAATAACCTCAGTATCTCCAGCTGCGGGTGCTCCTTCTTTTCCAGCTGTCACCTTGGCAAACAATATTTGCTCGTCTTGAGCCTTGACATGTTTGATGTGCTCTTAAGTGATCTATCTTTACTTTTTTACGATGTGGCAGTGAAAAATGCCATTCCGTCCGGTTGAATGGTTTTTCTGGACTTTCGGAGGAACAATACGGAGTGAAGTTTGTTACATTATTGTTGCAAAGAAAGAACAGATTTTGTAAGGCAGACGAGCTCCGAGCCAGCTCCCATGTTAGAGGATGAAGAGAGCACATCCAGTTAGTCACAGTCAGAGAAACAGGACTACACTGGAAAACAGGCCAAGCTCCAACATCTA